GTTTTGATTCCCTCTGGTGATGGGAATTTTAAAGCCTGGTGAAGGGCCGAGGGTATTGCTCTCATATTGTGGATCCACGGTCTCCCGAACAGGGTGTTATACCTCATGTCGCCCTCGATCACGTGGAGCTTCATTTCTTGGATGGTCTCGGCCACGTTTATTGGCAAAGTTATCTCTCCCTTAGTAGTTTCACATGCCATGTTGAATCCGTTTAGTACCAGGGCTGCGGGCACAACCTGTTCCTGTAGACTGAGTTGCTCTACGACCCTCGATCGAATGATGTTGGCCGAACTACCTAGATCAATTAACACACACTTAACTTGAGTTTTATTCATGAGTACAGATATTACCAGTGCATCGTTATGGGGCTGCATGATTCCTTCTACGTCTTCGTCATTGAAGGACAAGGTTCCTTTTGGTATGTAATCATGATCTCGAGATCGCTTCTCTCTTACAATCGATACCTTAGTGCGTTTAAACACTGGCCCTTGGGGAACATCGATCCCTCCGATAATCATGTGGATAATATGTTGCAGCTTTTCTTGTTCGTTTTGTCTATTGAACTCTCTATTTTTGAAGTGATTCTTGGCCCGATCACTTAAAAACTCTCGAAGGTGCCCTTCATTGAATAACCGGACTACCTCTTCTCTCAACTGCCTGTAATCTTCCATTCTGTGGCCATGAGTGCCATGATACTTGCATATTTGATTCGGTGGGCTGGATCGGTCTGCAGAGGTTGAGGCCATTTAGTATCTTTGATGCGTCCGGTAGATGATACGATGGCGGATGCATCAATGTTGAAGTTATACTTTGACAATCGCGGTGCTTCCTTAGGTCCGGTATGCCTGTCGAAACCATTCTTGCTCATCAGCCCTCGAGACCCTTGGCCTCGATTACTTCTCCTTTCACCTCGTACGGAGTTGTGCCCTGGTCCGCTGCCCCTACGATCTCTATTATACGGCTGGTATCGGTCCCTGTTCAACCTCGGTTCTCGGTCGATGTCCCTTTTGGTAACGGATCCAGAAAGGCCCCCTGACTGGTCGTCTTCGACTCTAATCTTCGATTGATATCGATTATATACATCGTCCCAGGTAACAGCCGAGTACTCAATCAAGTTCTGCTTCAACTGCTGTGAAGCCACCGAGCTTCGTTCATTTAGTCCTTGGGTGAAAGCTTGAACGGCCCAATCGTCTGTGATCGGTAGTAGATCCATTCGTTCCATTTGAAAACGAGATACAAATTCTCTTAGCATCTCATTATATTTTTGCCTTACCTTGAAAAGGTCCGACCTTTTGGTCTCGACCTTTATGGCTCCGACGTGTGCTTTTAGAAAAGAATCTGCAAGCATGGCAAAAGAATCGATAGAGTTAGGTGATAAATTATGATACCATATCATTGCTCTCTTTGATAGGGTTTCCCCGAATTTATTTAATAATACGGATTCGATCTCATCGTCCTCTAGATCGTTCCCTTTAATGGCACACGTGTAAGAGGTGACATGTTCGTTGGGGTCAGTCGTTCCATTATATTTAGGAATTTCGGGCATGTGGAACTTCTTGGGGATCGGTTTGGGAGCTGCGCTCAGGGGAAACGGCTTTTGTACGAACCTTTTGGAATCCAAACCCTTCAATATTGGTGGTGCCCCCGGGATATGATCAACTCTGGAGTTATAAGTTTCTACTTTCTTGTCGTTTGCTTCAATCCTCTTCTCTCCTGACTCTATCCATTTTGTTAGTTCCTCGAGCATCTTTATAATTTCGGCGTTAGTCCCCGATTTTTATTCATTTGACCTTACTACAGCTGGCCCCGTTCTGTGGGTGACTTCATGGGGTGGACCAGGCTCAGGCCTGCTCGGTGCCTGGGTTTGGCTTTGCAACTGAGATATCGCTACCTGTTGAGCTTGCAACATTTCGAAAATCATAGGTAGGTTGATCCCGTCTTCTCCAATATTTTGGGTATTTCGAACTGCAGATCGAGTTCCACCATGAATGTTGTTTTCGGGCCCAGAATGTTGGTTCGCTTCAATGGCCACATGCGAATTAACATCAATTGGATCCACGGCCCGAGTCCCAACGGGGTCAACGGGTGATCTTTCATCCCCGGGCGTCACGTTGTTATTCTCACCTTGATGGCCAGATTCGTTGTCGATATGTAGGGCCATTAATTGAGAGTTCGTCATTTTTAGCCTGAAATCAAAGATACTTCCAAGAGCAAGTGTAAAATAGTGTGTTTTATAGAGATTCGTATCAAATAACCACTATTATCCTTAGTCCCACGGTGGGCGCCAAACTGTTTACCCGAAAAACGGATAATAATTGAATTTATACGTAGTTCTAAGGATACGTGGTATAATTTGGTACAAATTGAAAAAAATAAGTAAATGAATATCGAAATTAGCTGTAAAAGAAATGAATCCAAACCGAATGAATTAGTTAGCCTAAGCCTTCAAGTTTTATCACCTTCAATTTTAATGGAGAGTGATTGATAGAAGAACAATATGACTAAATATCAAAGCTAGAAAATGATAGTATATTGCTTTATGTTCTATGAATCTCAGTGGATCTGACCTCATTTCTACAAATGATAACAACCCTTAATATAGTGGGAAAATTCTGTTTTGTATATAATTAAAAATACATAGTGGAGATCCCATGATAGATTAATTAATTAGTCTCTCCTTGATTTTCGCCGTGATTTTCGCCGAGATTCTCCCCCCAATTGCGGCTATAACAGCTTTTTTGTTTCTTTGCTCGATCTCGATCTTGGCCGATCTCAATCTTGATCGGTCTCTGGGTCTCGAGCTCGGTCTTGGCCGGTCTCGATATTGATCGGTCTCTGGGTCTCGAGCTCGAGCTCGGTCTTGGCCGATCTCGATATTGATCGGTCTCTGGGTCTCGAGCTCGACAACCTAACTTTACCTCATAGCTCGATATTACAATGATGAACCTCGGACCGTCATGTTCCAATCTCGATTAGTCATACAAAAGAAAAACTCGGTTTTGACCGTATACACATATATTGATCTATATTTATTACCTTGGATTATCTTAGGTTTGTTAGTTTAATCCGTGTAAAGTTTATTTGTGATTTGTTCATAAATGTTTAGGTTTGATTTAGAATAAGGATAAATTATTTTGTAATCCAAATTAAAATCTAACACTATCAGTAGGATTTGGTGTTTTGTGAAAAATAAAATTTAGGGTACATGTTTTATTATAAAAATATTCTATGTTTATTATATCTATTGCCGTGAATGATTCTATATTAGACTTCAAGCAATTATTCTGTATTACAAAAAAATATATTATAATATGTAAAACTCTATCGTATATAGCACTTTGGATGTGTAATAATTCCTTTAAGTTTAGATTTTTTTCCCCCTTTTTCTTTTGGTAATATAATACTTTTTAAACCAAAAATAGAGTTTGAATAAATGATGTAACCAGGGAAATTTATTCATAGTTCATTTGTTTATGTGTTTGTGTTATTAAGGCTATTACTTTTTGTTACACTACGAGATATTGGGCTCTTTACGGGCAAGAAAAAACTCCGTGAACATATAAAAAAAACTTGGTAGATTGAACCATAAGAACTTGCTTCCTTTTATTTGTATTGTTTTAACAATAAGAAAGAGGAGGAGGTTTTGGTCTCTCAAAATGTCAAAAATGATATATAGTTCCTTCAAGATACCTTAACTCCAAAAAGGATAAAATTAAGGACTTCTCAATTTTGTATTCCAATCTCCCACGAACATACGCTGCTTATCATGATTGCAAGAAGGTCAACACCCGAACATCAAATAGTAGCTAGGTCAAAGCAACCGAAAAAAGAAGTGAAATCCACATGTTTGATTGAAATACTGCACAATCAACATTAGTAAATCATTAAAGCTACTAACTAACAAGTAGTAAGCACAAGCTACTGACCTTTAACCTATTTTCTTCGACAAGTTGTCAAGTTCCATATTTTTCTATGATCACCGGCGAGAAGCCGTCATCTTCAAATATCTATAACAATTAATCTATAATGTGTGAAGGTGCGGTAATTAGTATTGCTAGTCTAGTTGACTAAAAGTAGAAATTTACCACTGAAACGCAATGAAATTATTGATCAAGGGAAACAGAAAATTAATATCATAGTAACTTACACATATAGAATACCATTAAGCACCTGCCTCAAAATCCTTGAGCATCGAATAAACGCAATCGGTAGCCAACCTTTAGTTTTTCTTCGGTTTTTGGCACAATAGCGGCCAAACATATATAGATAACACTTACAAGTAGATCGACCAAAAGTTCTCAATACAATAAATACATAGAGAAATCAAACCATAATTAAAACTTCCAATTCTAAAGCTAAATCCCAAGCATTCTACATTTAAAAGTTTTAGGAACTCGGCAAGAAGCCAAGAATCATGAGTTCCTGGTTTGGTACAAATTGCTTTACGTCTTTCTTCTGTTATGCTTTGTTGTTGAGTTGAACCGGGAATAATAAAAAGGTATTACTTAGGCATAATCATGAGCGGTTTGATTTGCTTTATTTCAATATTTAGAATACAACATTCGTCTTTTTATAATAATATAGATATACATAGATAGATAGATATAGATATACATTAATGAAGTGTTCCACTCTCTAACGTAAGAAGGTACCATACCGAATCGAGCACCAAAAATCTGTAAAAATTTATTTCCAAACAGAAAACTAAGCAAATTAATTTTGGTTTATTTATATTAAGAGGGAAAAGGAAGGAGGAGAAAAACAAGGTACATACAAAACAAAACATTTGGCTTCTTTATGACAGAAAAATATTTCTCAAGTTCAAAATACTTTGTTTATAAGTAACAATGTGATAATCTGCCAAATTTGACATACTAGAAATTATATAAGTGTTCTAACTGGTCTAAGTTAAGCCTTTTCCCCCTTTTATCTGGAAAAGACACTTTATTTTTTCTTTTTATCTGGAGAAGACACTTCATATTTCATAAATTCAGCTAGTAAACAGAACTAATAATAATTTCGTGGGTAGACTATTCGTGTTCTTAAAGCATCAATGTCAGAAGGAAAAGAAATGAAGAAAATGAATGGGCACTGTTCAGTTGAAAATACAAATAACAGGAACTGAGTGGAAGTTCCTTCATTCTGAATGAAGATAAACTAGAAAACCAAAGAACTTCAACCTGAGACACAAAGCTACACACTACAATTAGAACCAAGCATTGATTCATCAGTTTAATGCCTGAAGAAGAAGGAGCTAGGCATGCGCCTTGATGACCTATTTGTGTCTCTTGTAGTTGCTGGTCTTTCCTCGTGATTATCTGACGAAGTTGACCTCCAATCTCTCCTGTTTTCGGATCTAGCACTAGTCCGTGATCGAGTAGGACTCCTCCCACCATCAAACTCAGAAAACTCATCCACTGTCAAAGGCAAAAATGGAAAGTCATTCAGGAAAGAAAAGGGGAGCTCAAATTCAAGATCCAGTAGCAAGTTGCCATCTTCACTCAATCCATCCTCGGCTTCGGAGTACCCATCTAGGAGATCAAATAAACCACCATCAAGAGGCAGCTCAGTTAGGAGGTCATCTCCAGCAAAGTCATCGCCAAATGGGGTCTGATATGCACTGAGAGTATCCCCAAAGTCTCTTTGAAGCTCCAACCTTCTCCAATCATATTGTCGTTGAGGGTCAGCCTCGGCTGGCCTGTCAGAGGGATGCTCAAGCCTGGCATGCTTTCTTAGTTCACCATAATTGCCATTGAAATTGCACGTCTCCAAGGAACAGCTCCTCTGTTTGGAGTTCATGAATTTACGAGCAGCCTCTACAACAATCCATCCTTTAATCTGTCCCCGGCAAAGTGGGCAGACAAGCTCTGGTTGCTGTCCCCCAGTAGACCAGGTTGTTCTCGACAAAGGTTGTCCCCGACTTCCCCTGTGGAACATTGTCCCTGATATAGTACTTCCCTCTTGTTGAGCTTCTGATAGTGTTCCAGATGATAATTTACAAAATTGATCAAGACAGTTTGAATGACGGTAACTTGTGTCGCACATGTAAGGCAGACAACCCTTATCCCGTGATGAACAAAGTAGAAGGACACAATTATGCGGATGCTCCATACAAATAGGGCACCTAGCTTCTTCCCATTCTCTTTCATTCCCTACTGGTGGCAAGGAACTCTTTAACTCTTGCTCCGTATTTTTTGAGCTACAAGCATAAGGAGATGCCCTTGCCCCGTTGAAGGATGAGGAATTCACCCTTCTATCTTTCGGCATGCTGAGCCGTTGGAAGTTACTAGATTTCCACTTCTATGCTCCAATACTGCGTCAAAAATGGGCAGAAGAAAAATAAGATAATGAACACTTAGAGCTAACCATCAATGCACATGTGAAACACCATCACTTCTATAATTATAGAGTGACACTTTCTTTTAACATTGGGCGACCACATTATCTGTCTGCTGTTTCCAGAGAGGGAGGAGCATGGTACTGATGAAGAGGAAAAACAAGCAAACAATGTACTCCCGTTTAAGCATTCCCATTTCTCATCTTACAAATAACTACAGCTGTGGATGTAAAAGGTGATTAATAAGCAACTCAACTCTAGATGTCAGATAAATGCACTAAGCCTTGACAATGGAAAATCATATTTAAATCTTCAGTTCACAAATAAAGGTTCCTCATCTAGTTAAGTGTTCATCACCCTTCCCCTTGAGGTTAATAAAGTTAACTCCCATCTATTACTACCACATGGTTCATTATACTGCACCATATCAATAAAACCACTAGGAACTAAGAAATGAATCATATAGATGCATAAACCCCTCAAATTTTCAAGCTAGGCCAATAGCAAAGAACTTCTGTGATCCAGCATTAGCTATTAAGTATAACTTATCTGCGGTCCATGCTTGCTTCCAAATTCCATAGATCGTCTCTTTAGGCTATTTTATACTACATAAGTCCGGTATATGAGGGATGCAGTAAGTTGCCAAGGTAAAACTTGTTTAGTTATGATTAATGCTCAAGACCACATCAACTGTTAAACTGATAGACATCACTTCAGACACAGTCAGTTAAAACTTCTCCTCAGAAATCACCGGTTACCAAAATAAACATTCTAACTGAAAGAAAGAAAAAAATCTTTGTTGGGCAAGGGAGAAAAGAAACAATTGAATTGATGCTCCCAATAGGGTTCCCTACTGGTCGAATAGTCGGAGACCAAGGTTCCAACCCTAGCAGAGAGGACAGTCTAACCTTGTGTACGAAATTACACAGTACCTCTGCTGATGGAAGATAGCATATACCTAATAACATAACAGTTTAATCGAATGAAATTCAATATATGGCTCTGTTAAAATCATCATTAAATCAAAGAGAAAAGCAATCAGCATCGTCTAACTTGGGATAATATCTATAGTTCTTTTCATTTTTATCCCCTAATTAAGATTTACACTAGAATCAAAATAGCAGAAACTCAGGACCTGAATTTCTGGAACAGATAAGGCCATTCAGAAAAGAAAAAAAATATATACGATAAAATAACCTCTGCTTTGTCGACTTTGCAAAGGCCGGTTTGGAAGCAAGAGATCTTTGACGGAGCTGAGTTAGATCTCAAATGACGGAATAAAGGCGGCCAAAATCAACGCCCGTTGGTCGAAGGAGAGGAACCGCCGGAAAATGATATTTTTTACCAAACTATGCTCACCCTGATTAATCCATTTGAGAATAATTAGATAATTAAACAATGATTTACAAGTTAAAGCTCAAAGATGCATATGAAAATAAACTTTCAATTAAGATGACGAACCTGCCACTAGGTTTACAGTTTACTAGGTCAAGTCTGAACTGTCACCAGGTGGAGCTTACAAAAATTTCCAGAGCCAAATTTGAGGAATCGTCAAATTAGATACCGAATTTTTATGTGGAGTAGGAAAGCTCCAATGGACCAAATTGTCCTAAAATTGATCTTAATTCACGACCTTGAAATTTAACGAGGCGCCGCCGCGGGCAACCGGCAGAACCCAGGAAGTGGGACTTTAGGCAAGAATTGCATTGGTAATTAATAATTTAACTTATATATAATGATAGAAGGATTATTTTTCTTTTATATATTTTAACAATGTAGAGCAAATAATTTTCTCATTTTCTGATTTATTAATGATATTTTCTTATAAGAAATTACATATAAGTAACTTGATAGTTATAACTTTTCTACACTGTAAATATATAAAAGTTATTGGCTATGTCTTTTTCTTTTTTGAATTATACTATATGATCCCATATCCAAATTAGTTAATCTACATGTCACAAGTAGAAAAGTGAAAAAACGAGTCAATAGCAATTAGTTTGACGTTGGGTCATCGTCTGGAAAAGAATAGTGAGTTTGAACTTTGAACTACCTAGGAGTTACGCCCTATTTAAGTTTACGTTAATGGAATTTCAATCCGTTTAATTTTAAACTGCGCTCAGTTTGCTGGTTCCGAAACTACATAAAAAGTGTAAATATTCTTCGTTTTAATTTTTTTTATACATATTTAGAAGAAAATATAAAATCATTATAAACACGTAATGAATGAATTAATGAGTCAATTTCCATTATTACACTATTTAACCTAGCTTTAGTAATTTGCACTTTGAACCCTAAGGTTTGCCGAGGACGCCAGCTAGTAGTTTCTGGCTCTGTTCTACGTCTGTAAAATAAGCAGGTAAAGAAAGTATAGGTGACAAACGGGTGTGCCGGGCCGGTTCAGGTCGAAAAAAATAGTGACCGGCCGGTCACCAATCCGGGCTGGGTACCGAGTTTTACAAACCGGGTTTAATGGGCCATGGTCCATCCGGTCAAAAATTGAACCGGAACAGTTCCGGGTCGGATTTATGTATTTGTTTTTCGTATTTTGTATAACTATCGTAATTTATATTAATATAAAATAAAAATATAAACAAAAAAATAATCTTATAAAAAGAGTGTTTGAATAAAGGATGCAAAGACTTTAAAATTCTTATATTTAAATAGTTCATTAAGAATTTAAGATAATAGAATACAATGAAGATGGAAAAAAACTGCACTTATAATTTGCAAGTTTTTTTTTATTTCAAACTTGCAAATTAAAGATTACATTTAACAACTAAATTAACGAAAAAAGAGTAAATTCAAAGTTTAATTATTAAATATAAATCTATAACTTCAAAGGTTTTGCATTGCCTTAATAAGTTGTTCATAATCAATATGAACTTCTTGACCATCTTCTGGAGTGTTAAATTCAGATGGGTGACCATGTGTTAATATATCTCCAAGTTCCTTGTCTTCTGGTTTATCAACATCTTCACGGGTGTCTCCTACTTGTTGTCTTGCTTGATTAAATGCACTCTCTGATGCAGCATTTGAAATTGGTACATTCAGCACGTCCCGAGCCATAGCGGAAATAACAGGAAATTACTTTTCATTCTCATGCCACCATCCCAACAGTGAAAATTCCTTAGTGCGAGGCTCTGATTGCTTTTGCAAGTAGAATTGAAGTTCATCAATGTTCTTGCTACTGGTTTGAGTGGAAGGAAATGCAGCCCAAATATTATAACCATCAAGGCCTTCATCTTCATCCATATTAGTAGGCGCAGTAGAAGTAGTACAATGCATAGTGGGATTAACATTGCCTACATTAATAGCATCATCATCAATTATATTTGCATAATAATTATATAATAGTTGTAAATAATCATTTAGCTTGTTCATACAACAATATATATATCTGGGGTTTCAGTTGGTCTAATCTCCATATAACTATATAAAGCATTGATTAATTGGTGACAAGTAGACATCTTTATAGAAGGATTTAATATTGCACCAAATAAGTAAATAAGAGGAATTGGAAAGAAATATTTTTTGAATTTGGCTTGCATTTTTTCAACAACATCCTTATATTTTTCTTTCTTCTTAAATTCAGAGAGTAGAAAAGAAATTTCAGCTATATGTACTAAAGCCATAGTAACAATAGAGTAATATGCTCTAGAAAACTCAACAATAGCTGTATAAAATTTATGTAAAAATTGAACAACATCATTAATGACCTCCCAAGTATTAGTTGTTAACATATGGTTTGGATCAGTACAATGCGCATTAGCAACTTCAGTTATCGGCAATCTATATTTGTAGCAATATTTTAAAATTAAGTATGTATAATTTCATCTAGTAACAATTTCATCTGGCATGAATCTGGGGTTAAGATTATGCTCCGTACACTTAGTCTTAAATTCTCTAATTCTAGATTGTCTAAACTGCTCTTCTAACATGAGTAATCTCAGTCAAAAATAAATCAAGGCCACTTTTAACGATTAAATTATAAACATGAAATGCACACCTAACATGAAAAATTTCGTCTAGTGGTGGTTTCATATGCAGTCTTAATATTGAAATAGCGTTATTGTTAGAAGCATTATCAAAAGACATACACAATACTTTTTTTATTAAAATTATAAAATTTAACAATGCAAATAGTAGTACTTATAAAAATATCAGCATGGCTTTGATCTTCATCATATTTAAAAGCGATAATACGTTTTTGCATACAATAATTATCATCTATCCAATGACATGTAATTGTCAAATAATCATTTCCATTTACAGCATGGCCAAAATCTGAAGTTAGAGAAACTCTACAAGGAAGGTGATCAAACAAATAACGTATGTATGTCTGATATTGTCTATGAAGTCTAAAGATATCAGATCTACAAGTACTTCCAGGGTACCTTTAAATAAGGGATTATAAATCCTTTGAATATACATAGTTAGATATGATGAAGAAACAAAAGAAAAAGGTGGACAACCCAAAGCAATCATTTTTGCTAACTCCTCACGATCCTTCATTTTATCATATTTCATAAGTCCTCGAGTACTAGGGTTTAGAGTTCCTTACTTTTCATCTAAATCAGAGCCCCATTCTATAGGATGATTAATTTTCATATGTCTACTAAGTGTTCCAGTCCCCCCTAAACTTCCTCCAGTCTTATGTTTAAAATCATCTTTACAAATTTTGCATATAACTCTATCAGAATTCTCTATTTCGTCAAAAAAATTCCAAACCTTACTTTTTTTCTCTGATTAGTAGTCGGGGCCACAAGTGGCCTACTACTACGCCACGACCACCACCCCTGCTACCAACTCCAATACTACTAGGTGTAAGTGGTATCTCATTTTTAATTTCTAATTCATTATCTTATATACCGAAATCTTCCTGTAATTGTTCATAATCTATATTATTATCAGGTAATGTTTCAGAAATATGTGTAGAGATATTTAAATTACTAGTAGATGTTGAAGCAGTACCTCTTTTTCTATTTCTCCGATTATCCCGATTAGCAACCTTATTACAAACTCTTTTTTCAGCATTAAACATATGGTGAAAATTGAACTACTAACAAAAATTAATATACAAATAAAATAGAAATAAGAGAAAGAGTTGGAGAGAGTGCACCAAATTCCACAATAAATTGAACACTTGATGATTTTCGCAACTCCAATGTTACCACGAAGAAACTTCAATTGTTCAAAGTTCAAACTTCAAATAATACGATAAATTAAATTTCAAAACAAAAGAGAGCCAAATAGTTGATTGCAATTTAGGTGAGGAATGAGAGAATGACAATTGAGATTTGAGAATTTGAGTTTGAGAAATGAGAGATGAGTGAAGAAATAAAGAAGAGAGGGGGTATATTTAAGTTTTTCAAATGGCTAAATTAGTAATTACTAAAAGTGTTATTTTTAAAAGAAATTGCCCAAAAAGGGCCATTCTTGCAAAATTTTCGTTGGGAAACGGTCAAATTAGAAGCTGACCGTTGCTAACGGTCAAATGCATTTAAAAAAAAAAATTAGAAAATAGCCGTTGAATCCGGGCTGGTCCGGTTAACCGGTAAAAAAATTATATACAGAACCCAGCCCTACCCGGCCCCCTACCGCCGGTCTGGGCCGGTCCAGGTTACTACAGGTATGGGCCGGGTCCGAAACCGGGCTAACCCGGCCCGTTAAACAGGTTTAAAAGAAAGTAGGCAAAACGGCCTCCTGACCACTTAAACTTGCACTTGATTGCCAAGCCGGTAAACAAACTTATAATTTTCCTATTTGAACATCTCAACTTGACGGAATGAATACTAATAAACTACTTTGACCGTTGACTATACTTATGTGACGGTGATATAGGTAATGTAGACAAAATGCGTGCCAATCACGCAGTAAATATGCGTGAATACAATAATCTGATTTAAGAAAAATACTAAAATAAAAAGAAAAATATTAAAAATTAAAAGATGAAAAAGCAAAAGGAAAAAGGACTTTGTTGCCCGTCAGTACTCGTCCCTCCTCTCTTTCTTCTCTTTACCGGTAACCCCTCCTCGTTTATCTCCCGTCAGTCCACCCCCTTTTTTTATCCAGTTCTTCTCATTTTCTTTCAAATATTTTTTATCTTGTTTTCTTATTCTTTCTCAAATATAGTGAGTGGTTTGAGTAAAGAAAGGTTATAAGTTTTGAACTTAAGCAAGGAGAGAGAAAGAGCACCTTGGAGTTTTCGGCCAGATTCGATCTGAAGGCGTGTGATTTTACTTATCTCTTATGATTTGGGACTTTTTAGAAAAAGATGTGGTTATATGATTGGTCGCCGGCGAACTGGTGATGGCAGCCATGGGGTTTTCTGGCGGTCAAAACTTCTATCCTAATTGAATTTAACAGAATTAAGAAGAGAAGTAGAAAAGGGGATGAAGGAAGCCGACTAATTTCTTAGATTTGGGTTTGGTCCGAGGCTTTTCCGACAGTATATTCTTTTACTGGTTTGGGGGGTTAGGGAAGGGGGGGGGGAGGTGTTTGAGTGGAGAATAAAAGTAAAAAATGAAATGAATTTTTGAAAAATTAATTTTAAAAATATGACCCACAAATAACACATGTCAAACAATAAACAGTCTATCATATGATGTATTTGACATGTCAGGGTAATTGATATACACGCCCAATTGGATGTGTTTATTAGTATTCATTCCATCAAGTTTATGAAAAAATTGTAAGTGTATTTACGAGATTGACAATCGAGTGT